CACGAGACCCAGTCCCCGCCTCCCGGGGGCCTTCCTCCTCCCCTCGCCTTGTCCCACGCCGCCTCCGGGCCCCTGTGATCCCCCCGCTCCGGGGCCAATCCGACAAGAGCACTGACAACTGCGGTGAGCCCGGCGCCAGCCCCGGCTCCGCCCACGAGACCCAGTCCCCGCCTCCCGGGGGCCTTCCTCCTCCCCTCGCCTTGTCCCACGCCGCCTCCGGGCCCCCTGTGACCCCCCCAGCGCTGGCTCCAGCCCCACCCATGAGACCCAGCCCACGCCTCCCAGGGCCCTTCCTCCTCCCCTCGCCATCTCCCTCGCCTCCCTGCCCTGGGCCCCTGTGACCCCCCAACGCAGACTACTGCCTCCATTCCTCTCCTCCCTCCCAATACCTGCTATCCAGCCCCCCGACCCCAGCTGCCCCGTTTGGTCCGTTGGGTGAGTGGGCCAGGCCGTGGCTTTGGCACCCCGGCCAGTCAGCGCCAGTGGGACAGGGCGTTTCAGTCCCTCGGCTCTGAGCCCCCCGTCGATGGTGACTGGGCCCCACGGAGCTGGCGCAAAGTGCCCTGCCCTGTGCTGGCTGCTGACCCATGCCCAGCCCGGGGCCGGCTACGCCCGCTGCTCAGAGCCGCGCTCGGAGACGGTGGCGCTCTGCGGGGCAGACAAGGCCGCCTGGGGTCCCCTCCGCCAGAGCCCAACTGACCACAGACCCCACGTCTGGCGAACGCGCAGAGTGAGCCGAGGGCACGTGCTGAGTCCTCAGCGCAGGCCGGTCGCACCTATGCCTTGGGGTCCCTGGTGTAACCCCCCGCCCCCCTCCCCTCACCGAGCTGGGCTCCGATTCGGGCACAGAGCCAAGCCTGCTGAGTGGGCAACAGCCTCCGTTCACTGGCCTGGGCCCTGCCCACTCGGCTTTACACTCTGGCCGTGGGGCCCCACACGGTGACATGGGCAGGTCCTGGCTTCGGGTCCCACCCGCCTGCACCCCTAGTGCTGCCCCTGCCCCTCCCCCCCCCAGGCAGCGGCAGACACCCCACCCGCCTGCACCCCTAGTGCTGCCCCTTCCCCTCCCCCGCCCCAGGCAATGGCAGACACCCCACCCGCCTGCACCCCTAGTGCTGCCCCTTCCCCTCCCCCGCCCCAGG